TATATATATATATATATATATATATATATATGTTTTCATGTTTTCATTTAAGTAGGAGTGCCTGCGGTACCTGACAGAAAACCAGCATATACGCGTCAGTGATAATACGCTTGTATAGGTAGATGTACACGGTACAAATAACAAAATTAAGTAAAAAGTGCGCTTGCTGTTTAAATAGAATTGGGAATGTTTGCTGTAACTGGGAACAAACACTGAACAGTCCCTGTCTCGCTGTGCACCAAAAAACCAACGAAGGCTGGCAGAGGCAAAAGGCGGTGGCCCTCCGGCTCTTGCTTTTTTAAAGGGCAGCCAAACAAAAGGAACAGAGAGACATAAGTAATCAGAAAATAAGTAAACCAGCTCAATCGTTAACTGCAGGTGCAACGAAACACAAAACTTGACGACCATGGCAAAGCCACAAGCAAACCAACAAACGAACAAACCCAGAGCCAAAGTATACTTTGTGTTTAAGTGTCAAAGGAAAAAATAAAACAGAACAACAGAATAAAAATGAAGCCTAGGAAGACCCTCCATGCAAAAACAGCGCAGCTTATGAAAATTTGCAGGCCCTGCAATTGCTTTGACTTCCCTCCTGAATATTCGATTTTATTTGTTTTATTAGTTTTACTCGTCTTGTTTATCTTATTTATTTTTTCTGTTAGAAGAACGTGCGGCCCGTAGGCATGCAGAGGATGGAGGGCGGTGGGCGGCGGAATCTGCAGATCGCCCCACATATCTGTTTCGTCACTTGTATGTGTACGTGCATCTGAAAATGACCATTGAAGTGGCATTTCTTCTTCCTCGTCGCCTTCCGTCCCCATCTTCATCACTCCGCTGTCTGCAGAGGCAGCCCAGGGCCAGAGTCGGTTAGTAGATGTCGGCGGAAGCGGTCTGTTCCTTTCTTTGTTCTTCCTTTTCTCCTCAGGTTGGTTCATTTCTCTGTTGTTTAGATCCTCTTCTTCGTCCTCGATAGAGGCAAATGAACTGCGGTTGTCTCTGCAGCTGCTATTTCTCCTCTCCTCATCTCCCTTAATTTCTGCTGCTGCGGCCTTCCGCGACCGTCGAATTATGCTGAACCGTTTCAGTCCCCAAGATATCCACCCTCCTCCGCCCGCTGGGGTTCGCATTCCACCATCGGCGCCCGTTGTTACTGTTTCTGCTACTGTCGTTGCTCCAAGTTCTTTGTTGGTGTTATGTGAGTCCTCTTCCTCAACTAAGTCGCGTACGGATAAGGAACATCCACCAGAACCAGCAGCACCTGCTGCTGCGGAAGAACCGGCACCGAAAAAGCCACAAAACTCAGCCCCCTTGCCGAAGCAATTGCTGCTGCTGGTGGTGCTTTCATTGCAGCAGCGCAAGTTGGTGTGTTGGAGGTGTTGTTGTATTGCACTTCTCATCAGGTGCTCCGCAAATCGGCGGAGTCGACTCGCCTTCGGAGAAGCGGCGAAGGCATCCGCGCCAAAGTGGGCGGACATGGCCCGCAGCAGCTCTACAGCCAATGACTCAGCTTCTGTCTTTCTTTCTGTCTCTGTAATTATTTCTGTTTTCGTCCTCGCTTCTGTCTCCGTCTCTTTGTGAAGGCCGGTGAATGCTTTTAGGTGTCCGCATTGGCGTTGAGTTCCAGAAGCAAAAGAGTTCTGTTGCTGTCTATGGTCGGCGGTGTGTATGCGGCCGTCTTCCTCTTGCAGCATATTTGTCCCGAAGTCTCCCTCGCCCATTCTGCTGCTGCTGTTGTCTGCATGCCCTAGCAGCAACGTGGGCCCGGTATCTGCCAGCTTTGTAGCTGCGAGGAGGCAGTATTGCTTTAAATCGCCTCCCCGGATGGCAAACTCAACAGGCACCTCCACGCCCCCATAACTCCACTCACTGCTGCTGCTGTTGCTGCTTCGGCTACTGTTAGGTTTGATTCCTGGATAGCCTTTTGCGTGAAGGGCGCAACAGCAGGCGATGAGGCAGATATCCTCCACCTGGAAAACCTCAACGTGCTGCAGCGCCGCTCGGGCAGCTCGCGGTAACAGCTCCGACAAGTGAGACAAATTGCCATCCGTCCTGGTGCCGCTTTTGCTGTTGCTGCTGCTGTTGCTGATGGTGGGATTGTATAGACGGAGTGCGCCTGAGCGGCAGGCTGCCCACACGACGTCGGCCAGAGGGGACCCCAGAGGGAGGCGGTGCATGCATGTGTTTAGGGCATCAACTGCGGGGTGAAGGAGAAGAGGAAGGGAATCGAAAGAAAGATGCAACTCCCCAAAGGCCCTCCACCACGCCGCCACGCCAACAGAAGAACATTGATGCAGCTGAGAGGCCGTGGCATGCAGCAGCGACAGTGTTTGACCAACAGCAGCAGAAGAGAGGCTCGAAGACGAAGAAGAAAGTGACAGTAGCAGCAGAGCCGCTAAATCAGGGCTGCAACAGTTCAGCCAGTCCAGGAGATTATCTCGCGGAGGCAGCAGCAACAATAAACCAGCCTCTCTGCTCCCCATCCCCCTGCTGCTGCTGCTTTGGCTCCTGCTGCTGCTGCTGCTGCTCATGCTCCTCCTTATCGTCTTCATCGTCCTGCTGCTACTGCTACAGCTGCTGCAACGAGCAGTCCTGGCCAGCACGATGGAGCATATGTCGAAGGCCATCGCCTTCTCCCGACGCTCCTCCACCTCGCGCCACAGCCAACGAAGCAAAGGGGAATAACACAGGTGCCGCCCTGCAACAGCAGAAGCATCAGCAGTAGGACCAGGGGCGGACCCAAAGCTTTCAAGGGCCGAGAGTGCAAGAGCTAGTGAACTGCACGTTGCAAGGGAGATGGTAGTCGTCTCAGAAGTTGTTGGTCCTGTTATGTCGTGGCTGTCTGCTGAATGCTCATCTTCCGCTGAACCACTACCAGAAGCAGCAGCAGCAGAACTTGAGCTAGGAGAACAGTCATCTAGCCTCATCCTCGGAGTTTGCTGCAGCTTCACATAAATCTGTTTGCTGCCTTCGCGAGCGAGCAGCAACAGCGTCACCGGTGAGCATCTTCTCTCAACTCCTTGCGCAGAAGTCCCATCTCTGCCGTTTTCCCCCTCCCTCTCTGCTGTTTCTCCTGTTGTTGATGATGACGTTGCGGTTTGGTTTATGCATGTGTGGTTTTTGTTGCGTTTGCTGTGTGTTTTCAGTTGAGCTGTCTTTAGGCTGCGGGCAGCAAAGAGAGTATTGAGGAGGCGCAGGAGAACTATGTCCTTCACACATAAGCCAACTTCCATGCACTTAGACGGGGCCCCCGTGTGGGTGGGAGGTCCCAATCTGCTGAGTTCTGCTCCTGCCAGACAGCACCAAGAGAGCCCCAAGGGACCTTCGGATCTGGGAAGGCCATGTGCAGCAGACGCCAGCGTCAAGACACACGGCAGGACACTGTCTGCTGGAATCCTGTCCACATCTTGAAACAGTTCTTTTAAGTATGTTATAAAACCACATACTCGGCGGCGCAACAGCGAGCTTTGGATGCACTCCAACACAGTCACACCCAATCTCGAAAATATCTCAGGGCGCTCCTGTGCACTTGCCTGATGCTCATCGCGCTGTTGCTGCTGCTGCTGGGGCTGTTCTTTCTGGTGGCGATGATAACCCTGCAGCGGATAGTACGCATGCTGCTGATACGGCTGCTTCTGCATGCTAGACTCTGTCCGGAGGTCACCAGAATGTCTTTGGGGTTCGAGCACACGAGCACCAGCAACAAACGCGCTATTCTCTCCCCCAGCATCACAGGCTGTAACAGCAGCAGCAGGGGGCGTAGGAGGTGGAGCAGGACGAAAGGGATCGTGGGAAAGATGTGATGCCCCGCGTTGCTCCAGCAGCGCAAGGGGGTCTGCAGCCGAAGGCGGAATCAACTGTTCATTCAAGGGATCTCGCTGTAGATACACCTCATCCCGCAGCTGCTGCAGCTGGGACTGCAGCAGCTGCTGCTTTTGCTGGAGTTGGTCTAGCTTGAACTGGTGCTGCAGCTGCTCCACATGGCGCTGCTGCTGTACGTGCTGCTGCTGCTGCTGCTGCTGCTCCTGCTGCATATCGTCAGCTTGAATGTTTTGGTCGTCTTCTTGCCATCTTTTATCCTTCCCATGCAGTAGCGACGGGGGAGAAAGGCGAAACTCCCTCTGAAGGACAGCAGAGGAAGGAGGGGCCCCCAAGGACGAAGAGGGAAGGGCCCCGGAGGAAGGGGTTCTGAACGGGGAAGAAGAGATGGGGGGTCCCAAAGCCCTTGAGGACTGACCACCTCGAGACAAGGAGGAACCCACTGAATAAAAAGAAGGGGGTCCTAAGGAGCTTGATGAGGGGCCCTTCAAATATGCAGGAGAAGGGAAAGGCCGCAGCTGTAGGGGGGTTACTGCTGGTGCTGAAGAAGACGGCCCCCCCAAGGATCTGTCTGTAGCCCCTGAGGTAGAATGCAAACCAGAAGAAGGCAAAGGACGACTAGCAACTAAACAGTCATAGGAGGGGGCCCCCGACGCCCCAGAAGATGAGAGAGGATCCCCCTTTCTACTGCTGCGGAGCGAGTCGGTAGCCCTGTAGGCAGCCAGGGTGAAGAAGCCTTCCCCACCCCTGTTGCCGCTGCTGCTGTGGTTTCTGATGTTACCGTTGCTGCTGGATGCGTTCTTCAGCAGAGTGTGGTTTTGGTTGCAGCGTTGTACGTACACCTGAGCAGGACGTAGGCTCGGGTCCCGTGTTAGGGACAAGGAACGGGTGGTCTTGGAAGGCCCCTCTTTCAGTGCATTGCCACTGCTCGTGATAAACGGAGAAGAAGGATGAATAGATGATGCAACAGATGGGATAGCGTGGTCCCCCAAGGCCTCTACAGGCCGAGATGGGGAAGGGCACCTAACCCCTGCAGCTGTTCTGCTGCTGAGCGGCCCACGAGACGTGGAGAAGGGTCTCTGCTGCTCTGGTGTAGAAATGGTTGCAGCTGTTGAAATGGTAGAGTGAAAGCTGCTGCTAGAGTATAGGCCCTTACCCTGGCTGCTGCTGGTGTTGCTGCTGCAGAATTTTGCTGCTGGCTGGTGTTGCCGTCCTTGCGTTGCGGAAGGGAGAGCGGTGGGCCCAGAGGCCAATAAATGAGATGAAGACAGGAGGGCGGATGTCCAGAGAGAAGAATTGGGACAAAGGAGCTCCTCATGAGGAGAGCTGAAAGTTGTATTTTGGGAGAGGGGGCCCTCCCGCCTGACAGCACCAGGGGGGCGGTTGTCGAGAGGAAGTACAGAGGAAGGAGTACTGCAGGGTTGCCGTTGATGATGCGAGTCCTTCAATTTAAGAGGTGTAGTTACAGAAGACCTCTGGGCCTCTCCTGGTGTACAGGCAGCGGAAGAGTAGGAGGGCAGCCGGCCGCCACGCGAGAACAGGGGTTGGTGCAGTGGCTGCATCTCCTTCCTCCTAAATCGGGAAAGGCGACAGGAAAGCAAACAAGTGCATTAACATAAACGATTCTAAAACAAACAATGAACACACATTCGAAGGTTCAATACTCATGAGAAGACAAGAAACAACACACGCAGACTGCAGCCGACTGCAAAAGGTGATGACTAAAGGCCAGAAGAGCAGTTGCTGATGCAGACTGCCGTCTCCTTAAAGCTTCAAATGAGACAAAACAAAAGATAAATAAATAAAGAAGACGCAATATAAAAGGAAAGAAGAAGAAATCCGGGGGAGCAGTTCACAGGGCTTGACCAGGTGGTGGTGGTGGTGGGGGCAGAAGAGCACCAAGGAAGGCACTACAGTTGTTCAATGCTTAAAAACCAATAGAATAAATTAATCAAAACAGAAATACAAAACAAAAGGATAGTGAGAAAGCTGCATTTAATAACGGGGCTAGAGCTGGCTCACCGACCTCCTGCCGCAACGCCTGGACAGCCAACAACCATTGCATGCATGCATGCACAGAAAGAGAACAGGAGCTCACTGGCTATATTTTGGAGTTAAATGGAGCTGATCAGGCAGCATAAGAGTTTACGTTCGAATTTGTTTTCATTCAAATAGCAAAAAATGAGTTTTCTGTTGAATTTGTGGAGAAGTGCTCGATCCGATGTGAATGGGCTGTCGCGTGCATGAAGGACGGTCGTGGTTTTCCGCTCTTCTCCCCATTATTTCATCTGTATTACTTAAAAACCTTTGTCTTCTTTAATCTCACGGAGAAATCGCTTTCCCCTCTCTTCCCCACTGTTCCTCCCGCGTTAGCGGTACTGGAGAGCTGAGCGTACAACCTCTGCATGGGTTGTTTTATGCGTTATTTTTCATCCTTTCCCCCTTCCACTTGGTAGTCACATGAGTTGGACGATCTGTATTCGATTCTTTTCTCAATTGTGATCCCCAGACGCTCCCAAGCCCAGAGCAGAGCCCTATAGCCGAACCGTTACTGCTCGTTTGCTGTGGTCGTGAGTTTTTTCTTCAAGCACCGGCAGAATGTCCAAACAGTCCTCTTCAGTCAACCGGCCAGATGCAGCAGATATTCTGGAGCTACCCCCTGGAGTTCACAAGTGCGTCGTGATTTTTCCTTTCGCCCTCTTTTGTCGTCGGTGTTGGTGTGTTTGCTGTCTGTCGTTTGCATAACGCTTGTAACTTATTTTCCCGTTCCTTGCCCTTCTTGTCTGGCATAATTTTGCATTAATTTTTCTTCTTGTACTATTGCTACTTACTGTATCGCTGCTTTTTACTCCCATGCCTATTCCAAACTTCCGCTGAATTTCTCTTGTTTGCTCACGCGCACGCATTTATGTTGATTCCTATTCATGTTTATTTGCGTATATATTATATATATGTACTCCAGCAGCAGAACGAGCTACTCTTGCAGCGACTGCGCCAAACAATATGGCAGCCATCCGTGGTCAAGAAGCCGCGTGAAGAAACAGTGGCAGTTAACCGCTCCAGACCTCTAGTTCTTCGTTTCGATGAATTTGTGGTGCTTTCGATGCAATTAAATTGTGTTTAAATGATGATGGTATAGCTAGTTAACAGTTAAGGGGTAAATGTTCTGATTGTGCCTCTTTGACCAGAGTGGAATGGACTCCCGATTTGCGGTTTCCCCTATGCGGGACCTTCACTCTTTACCTCGAAGACTACACCGTCGGCTACATCCTCAGAAAGTAAAACACACAACATAAATTTAATTCGTTGACCCTAAGACTAAATTGGTTTCGTTAATTGATTGGGTTTGTCCTTTATAGCCATTGTTTGCATTTGTTCATTTGATTTTGTCAATAGAGTTGCGTAATTGACTGTGTCAATTGTTTTTTTGAGTTGATGTTTTGAATTGATTGTAGTTGTTTATTGTTCTTGTCTGACTGTACTTGTTGGTTGTATTTTTTTTGTCTTCAGCGACCTGCTGCGTGATAAGCGGGTGAAGTTCGTCGGCCTACGTCAACCGCACCCTCTGACGCCCTCCATTGAACTACGAATTCAGGCGATAGATGTAATTCTTCAATTTGCCCGCACATGTTGTGTGATTAATGTGTTCACTTGCATTGATTAATTTGCCTTTTGAGTTGGACTATTCTTTCGAAGATAACTTCTTGTTTAGTTTCATACGAGTTTATTCAAGTTGACCGTGTGTTTGTATTAGGCGTTGGTGCTGTTGGTGTTGCTATTCATACAGACGTGTTTATTGATCTGTTTGTGCGGCTAATATGAATTTTCCGGACTGTTCTTTGCGTGAAATTAGTGCCAAGATTATTATTTGATTTGCATGCGTTGGTTATTTACCTATTGTTGGCGTATGGTGTTTATTTGTTTACTACTGTATTTGTTTGCTTTGTTGGTTGTTTTGGTGTTACTATTGGTTTAGATGCAATTCTCCGTCAGTGCATTTATTGGTGATGCCCGTTGGGCTCTATTCAATCTGTTGCTTTCCTTCTAATTGTAATTATTCGTCTGTTACTGTTGTTTCTTGTCATCTGCCGTTTATCTGTATGTGCATATGCTTGTTGCTTTCGTCTCTGTGGTATTTGTCTCCATATGTCTCAAGTTCCATTAGACCGCTTGCGTTGCTTCTGCCTTGTTGTTGCTCTTTTGAACAGGCAAGTCCCTTGCAGCTGTTTCTCGAGTCACTTCGTCGTCAGCGAACTGCTGTCACATTGCTGGGGGCCCTCTTCAAGGCGGCTGTCGATGCCCACGCCAGCGCAGCCTCCCATAGTGAACCCCGCAGCAGCAGCAGCAGCTTCCATCAGAATAATAGTAATAGTAATATTACTGAGTTTGGCCTCTCCCACAGTGCCACCCAAAAAGCAGACAACAGTCTGCCGGTGCATTCAGGTGGAGGAGGAGGGGAGAGGACATCGGGTCAATTGGGAGATATTTACAACACCTCTTTTTCTTCCTTCACCTGAGACACGTTCATTTTATTTTCGGGTTCTATTATTCTGATGAAGATAACCCCATTTTGCTGGTCGATACGGGGCTATTCTATTGAAGCAACCCCATTTGGTTATTTGGCTGTTTTGCGTTTTGCTTATTTGCTTAGACCAACATTTCCCAGTTGCTTGCTTTTGCCTGTTTGCTGCATTTCTCTTGACCTCTCTCTTGAGGGTTTTGTTGTCTCTTCCTCGTCTTTGGAGCGGGAGGTGTTTCCATTCTCTTCATGCTCAGGAACGGTTGTTTGGAGAATTTGCAGATTCTTGAGAGAAGTGTTGGCGTGTTATCGATTGGTTTAATATTCTCACCTCAATTTCAACTGTCTTTGGGCTGTCGGTCGTCGTCGGTATTTGAGAGACTATCTAGCAGTTTGATTATTATTGTTGTACGAATATGTGGTGTATTTTTCACCGGTAGAGTGCAAAAAATATCATTTGCGTGCACGATATAAATATATGTATGCGCATGCATATATATGTATTTATGTCTGTACACCTCTTCAGACACCTTTAGAAGTTTCGCTTGGATTAAATTAGTGCTTACACGGAAGGCTGAAAGCAGGAAGCGAGCAGACTCCCAAACCCTACTACCCTAAATACTAAGCCATAAGCCCTAGGAGTGCCATCTGAATGGGCCTAACTGTTGAGGGAGTTTTCTCAGTAGGATAACATTAAATAAACCTGACTCTACGAGGTCTTCTGGAACTGTAGTACAACTAAAGGAGCACTTTTAACACACTAAATGGTTTTGTTGGCGGCTCCGAAGGTTATTGATGAGTAAAGTACTCACCAAGTGGAGTATAAGTATAGAGAACGTCCAGTTGTAAATAGCATGTAATCAAAGCACATCACAATCTAATGCTAACGGCAGTCGGTGCACGGCTCTCTACTGCAATGTCGCCGCTGCTTTTACGAGCAGAAAGAGTCAGACAAAGATGCTATTAAGAAATATGTCTGCTTCTAAGCTGGAATATCGGCTCTGGGTAGACATATCTATATCGCACAGCATATCTGCTCCATAAAGGTACATCCTGTACACATTTTCACCACATAGATATCCGTTCCACCCGGTATCTCTTTACAGTAACTATGTTTTAGGTAGATTGATCTATGCGCTTTAAATAAATACGATTTTTTATGGTTTATGTGTTTATATTTGATGAAGTCAAACGGAGCGCCACCGGTTTCTTACGTAAGCATCGGTTTCTGCAATTACGCCAGCTGCTGAGCCATCGCTCTCCTGCGATGGGCCTCCGGGTGTCGGCAGTTGTTTGTTGCTAATTTCCCTCTATTTAGTTCCAAGTAAATAAAAGCCAAATTTGATGGGTTAATTTTGTTTTTTTGCACATTTGCCGTGGAAACGCCTTCCGGATTCCGGTGTCGTTGCGCAAGTGGCACCGCATTCGTTTTGAGGGAAGATTGAATGGAAGAGAACAGTTAATGAATCTAAGATTTTAGGGTGTTTTTCGATTATTTATGCTTAATACAAGGACTTGTGTCATTATTTCATCATTTCTGTTTGCTTTAATCCGTTTCTCCCCTCATTCCTTACACTCTCTGCATGCCGTCAGCGACCATGAATGATGGCGTCGAGGCGCTCCTCAACGAACTGCTGGCGCTGCCACGGCGGCTACACCGGGCGCTGCATCTGTTAAGAGATTTGGAGGCAAAAAGCGGGCAGTGCGGAGAGGAGGCTCAGAAAAGACGAGAGAAGTACATGAGCATTGCCCGCGCCAAACTGCATGCCCTACACAACAGCAACACCAGCAGCAGCAGCAAGTTCGTGGTGCCTGAGGGGTTTTACGACGACCCGGAGCTGCAGGAAGAGGCAGCAGCTGCAGCTCTGAAGGGACGGGAGGCGAAGGCGTTGCTGCAGGAGAAGGTGGTCGTAGTGACGCAGCTCATGACGACAATAAGAAGGGAAACAGACAAATTCAAAGCTTCCCTCTCCTCGCTGACAAGGCAACAACAGCACCGCGAAGCCTTCGACGAAGATCCCCTCACTCCAGGCACATACAAACACCGGCACCGGCACGATGAAGCTTCTACTGCTGCAGCGCATGGCCCTGTCACCAGGCTGCATGTCAGCCGGCCTGTAATGGCCTGCAGCCCCCGCTCTTCTTGCTCTGCTGCTTCACACAGGGGTGCGGCAGGCATCGGCAGCAGCAGCAACAACACCAACAACGAAAGCCTGACGAAACATGAAAACAGCACCACTGGAAATAATAGTAGTAGCAGTAGTAGTAGTAGTGGTAGTGGTAGTAGTAGTAGTAGTAGTAGTAGTAGTAGTAGTAGTAGTAGTGGCAGTAGTAGTAGTAGTAGTAGTAGTAGCAGGCATCTACACAACACCGCCACCGTAGGGAGGAGTTTCCTTGGTTTCTCAATGGGGAGACCGCATCATGTCAGTTCTTCGCCGGAGACAGCAGCAGCAGGTGGGGCAAAGGCAGTTGCAGCAGGAACAAGTGCAGAAACAACAGGGGCAGCATCAACAGGCCCAGTTGCTATTACTGCTGCGCCTGCTCCCGCATCCTCTATCTCCTCTAGGGTCCCTTCTCGAACTTTGCGCCCCATCAAGGCTTCGCTCCGCAGCAGCGGCAGCAACCCCTGCAGCAGCATCGCGGAAGCAGCAGCAAGCACAAGTCGGCCGCTAAAAAGACCTCGCCCCGCCACGATGGGAAGTCCCACTAAGAGATCATCTCTTCAAGAAGAGTTGGCTGCAACACCAGCAGCAGCAACAGCAGTTGGGGATGCAAGCAAGGAAGGGAGGGGACTCAGGCAGGTGCAAGACGGAGGTGCAGCAACGGCAACAGCAGCAGCGACAACAGTAGCAACACCAGCAGCAGCACAAGCACTAACACCAGCACCAGCAACACCAAGCGCAGCAGCACCAGCACCATCAACACCTGCAGCAATAGCAGCAGCAGAGGAGGGATTGCAACATGTGCATGCCTCTGTTCCCCCGCCTCATTCTCAAGTAGATGCACCACCTAACGGAAGACGGCGGCGTCAGCGACGGGAGGAAGCAACAGTAGCAGCAGTAGAACCGACGGGAGGGTTAACTGCCTCTGCTTCTGCAGCGCCCACTGTTGACACTGCTAATGCGGACCTCATCACCATAGCTAGCAGCAGCAGTACAAGCAGCAGCAGCAGCAGCACAAGCACGAGTAGCAGCAGCAGCCGCAGCAGCAGTAGCAGTAGCAGCAGCAGACCCGCCAGGACAGGCGTCAGCAGGTTTAGGCGGGCACGAGAACCGCTCCTTGAAAGTCCTCCTGCTCCTGTTGCTGCTTCCGCTGCTGCTCTTGCCACTGGTGCTGGTGGTCCTGCAGCTGCTGTCACTGGCGGTGCATCAACTGCAGTGCAGGCGTCGCATCATCAGGCCGCGGAGGGGGATGCAGCAGCAACAGCAGCAGAAGTAACATTACCTGCAGCATCAGCAGGGGCAGGAGCAGCAGGTGTGGCGGAAACCCGTCTTGGTGGGCTAACGCACCAGCAGCAGCAGCAGCAGCAGCAGCAGGTTGGTGAGGGGAGGAGCAGAAGACAGCGAGAGAGGGGCAGCACACACCCACAAGTTGAGTAGAGAGTCTTTGCAACGAACACTGCCCCATACGTTTGGCTTTTTTGCGCCATCCAAGTACTTGGAGCTTTTCCTGTTTTTTATTTGTATCATCGGTTGAGGAGGAGGCATTGCTGCCTCCTTTACCTCCTGGTGGACACCCCCGGCGGTCTACCGACAAACATTTTTTGGTTTGATAGTCCCAAGGAGTCCAAGGGAAATTCCCAGCAGTGCTGCATGCAAATAAAAAGGTAGTGTGGGGCTACCTTCCTGTACACTTCACGAGTTTTTTTTGTAATCTTTCTGTTACACGGGTTTGGGCGTTTGCTGTTGGCTTCCCTTCAAACAGCCAGTACCGATGGACAACGCCATGCATCCATCAATTCATCCATTGTATGCAGATGTAGCCGCTTTTGGGCTGTTTTATGTTTTATTTTTCTGTTTGGCAACAAAACAGGTCACGCGTGCGTCTGGCTGCGCAAGGAATTACCCTGCGAGTCCCCTGTACACCTGCTTTGTATCAGAGCCTCGCGCAGCCAGCCATGAGCTGTCTGTGAATGCATAATGATATGCAAAATATGCGCAGATTTTTTTTTTCCCAATGTCCAACCGGAACGGGATCATTTAGGAGATGTTTTTTGGCTCTTTCGTCAGTCGACTGTGTCTCTGAATTATTTGGGGGGTGATTGTCGGATTTCTCTGCTCTCAATTTACTAAATACATTCACAGCATTCGTGTTATACATGGAATTACGTCTAGTTTGAGGGACAGTATTAAAACATACCTAGTTCATTTAGTTGCGGCAGTCTACAATCTGCAGTTGACGATCGCTACACATAGAAAGGACAGAGACGGCAGGCAATCAACGCCTGTTTGCTCCATAGCCCTGCAGTGGCCGTGGACGACGTCCATAAAACGCTCAGTTAAGTAGAACCCTCGAGATATGTTAATGCGATCACCTTATTTATACTGTTGTACAAAGCAATGAAATTATATCAGGGGGTGCAACAGATCAACACTCACGGTTGAATAAACTCAAGGGACCACTGCCTAACTGGGGGCCTTCACCACAATTTCGCAATTTAGCTAACTTTGCAAGCGAATTTTATGAATTCACTGAACTTTATAGAGGATACGAAGGTAATAAGACTAGTCAAGTGAATGGAGTCCACCGGGGGGGGGGGACGAGAATCGGCCACTAGTGTAAGGTATGGTACACCCAATGTCTGTTGGGAGTGGAGACAAGGCATAAAGCTAAATTGTCGAAAAACTATTGATATTTCATTGACGTTTCCTTTGATGCATTTCAGGCACTTGAATAAATGCCTAAATGCAATACAATACCACGACTCGGTGCAGACCGGCGTAGTAAGAAATTGAGCCGCTGCAGCAGATTCGAGTTTACACATCGAGTTCCTTAAGACTAGCCACATGCATGGAAATATCACTTAATAGTCACTATTACTACTGAATCAATAGAGTAGTTTAATTAAAAACAGAGGGAAAAGAGCCATCACAAGCGCTGACTTCAGCACAGAGGGCGCACAGGCGCCGCTACCGGCCACAGACATTTCGGCTGCCTGTTCTTAGCCGATGGTGTGACTCACAGGGCTCACGATCTTCTCCAAAATTCGGTTTGAGGCAGCTCATTACACTACTTATTTTAATTATATTTGTGAGTTACAAATTCTAAGACCATTTCAGGAGCTCTTTTTTGCCTCCGAGGCAGTCGTTCTCCATAGAGGGCCCGATGATGAGTGGTGACGGCGGCACCCAGGCACCGAAGGACTTTAAAACCGTTCAGCTATCTGCTCTCCAATTATTCGTTCTTGCAATTACCAGCAAAATTTAACTCTGTTTAAGGGGTCCTGATGGAGTGGTCACGAAGAAGGAGCCGTTCCGGCTCTTGTCGCACCTGTCGTCAGACTAGTAGGCTGTTGGTTTGGGCCTTCGGTTTGGGGTTGTTTGCGGTGATCTGCTGCCTTTCCTTTCCCCTAAACACCCGAGATACACAAATCAATGCTGGCGGAGGCGCACCTGCATGGGGAGCTGGGGGTGTAGCCCCATCCCACGAAGAACTGGGTGGTGAAGGTGTCCATACACATCAAGAAGGAGTGGGTGGAGGGGAGGAGAAAGGCGAGGCTAACAGGGAAGATCTGGATGATGTAGTAGAAGCAGAAGCAGAGGCAGGAGGAGCATCAGAAGAGGCGGAGGAGACAGAAATGTTCTTTGAATTGAAGACCATTGGTCACATGCAAGCTGTGTCCGCCTCCATGAGGGGAAGAAGGCCCACTGATGAGGATGTACGCTGCTATTTTGATAGACGTTCCAGCACAAAAGTCCCTGTTTGTGTCTATTAGCTCAGTTCTACTCCTATAGTTCTTGCAACGCAAACAGGCAAACAGAACAACCTAATATAGAGATGGAACGTTGAGTAAGACAAATTATCACCTGTGTAGTGTCCAAATGAATTATATTCACAAATAGTATAGGTACTGGTGGAAGCACAAGAACAAATACACCAGTAAAGTTAGTGTAAAAATAAGATTACCTGTAAGTTGTTGCTTGCTCGTGTGCTTCTAATTTGTTTATTCGCTCGTCTGTCCATTCATTTGTTTGTTTACACTATTTGTTTATTTGTTTATGTGCTGCAGCAACTTGTGACTTTGGAACGTTTGAATCCCTCTTTATATTTTTTGGCTGTCTTCGACGGCCACGGGGGAAAGGAGACCGCCAAATATCTCAAAGAAAATGCGCACAAGGAATTCGGTATAACATTAAATGCATTTCTTTGGATGTTTGCCTGATGGCTCACGAATATATGTTTGTTTGTTGTGACTATATGTTTAGTGTTGTTGGTGCTTTTGCTTGAGGGTTTCTTATATCTGTCTATTTGTTTATGCCTTTACTTTCCATCCTCACTTGTTTTTTGCATGCAATTTCGTGAGGGTGTCGTATATTTGTGCATTTGTTTATGCCTTTACTTTCCATCCTCACTTGCTTTTTACGTGTAATTTCGTTGCTTTGTTTTGCGTGCTGACCTCAGTACATCACAACACAACCACACCATTCGTTACACCAAACCGCACTTATATATACATATACGAGCATGTCTCATATATATATATATATATTATAT